TGCAGATGATCTGTTAAACCAATCTCTCAGGTTTCTAAGCCATGACGTTCTTCTTCAAACTGGCCCTCTTCTTCGATCTACCTTGCCTTGTAATTATTAAATGGAGTATATTATATCTCTCTAGGTGGCGCATAATAATGGCTAAAATATTCAAGTTTTGCACAATTTTTAAACTGTTTTGAATGACGACTTTTAAAGACATTTTGCCATGTTGTAAAGACAAGCCAGTGCATAGCAAATACTTACCCCTCCTTTTATTTTGACGTAACTAGGGAATGGTACGATCAACGTAGTACTATTTTACTATTTTTATCGCTGTATAAATTACCCAACTTACTAAAATGTTTACCGCCAACACTGGTGGCGGTGCAAACAAAACTAAACTAAAACCTAGATTTCGAGGGGACACGCTCCATAGGGTAGTTATCAAAAAGTAAATATTTATTAAGTTTACAATAAGGTAGCCGGCCAACAATGCTCGTTTTTTTTTTTCACTATTACCTATTTTTTATTTCTCTTCGCTGACGAGATATGAAGAAAAGCGTCTCTACTTGCTCTGTGAGATCTCGGCTTAACAGGTAGTATGCCTATTGAGAATAACGGGGAAAAACACCTATTTTTTATTCAAAGAAAAAATTCATTTTCAAATAAAGCACTGAAACATTATATTTGAATGTATACAACATTCCATTCCATCGTATTGCGTTTTCAAATGGTAAATAAAAATCGCGAATTGTTCCACTAAAATCCAAAATAGCTTAAAAATAATGCAATAAACCTCGTAACGAATTTTCTTTGGCAAAAATCCAGAAAATTTCGTATATCAGTTACAGTTTTCACGTATTCACCACAAAATCTCGCTTGGTATTTATAAAAGGTTACGCATCTGAATATTTTTGAACGATATTTATACCAAAAAAAACGTAAGTAAAAATAAAACTTAAATAAATAGGAACATTTTTATAGTTACGCGTATCTATTTTACATCAATGTTGCATCAAAATCTATTATCAAACTGCAGTTTAACTTGAAACCGTCTACAGTTTATTCTGTGATCTAAGCTGTTGTGACTCCAATACTCAGCTTAACAATGACTTTCCTAGTAGTTTTTCGAAAAATCTATACTTTAATGTTTTTGACCATTGTGCCATTTTATTATATTTAACTTTCTTTTTTAACTTTCTCTTCTTCTTCTTTCTCGTATGTAGGCTTTAAAGCCTGTTTCTTCGTCAATATTAACCTGCTAAATTTTTTATATTATCACATCATTTTTTTCTTGGTTTGCCAATACTTCTTCGTCCATTTGGTAACTTATCTCGTGCTATACGCACTATCTTATCCTCTTGCCATTCTACTAATATGTTCGTGCCACTCCTGTTTCCATTTTGTCACCAAATCCATTTATGTTTTATATATTTTATGCTCTTCTTATGTTTTCGCTCCTCTCTCCATCCAACAAACTTTTCCCTGATATTCGTCGAAGTATTTTCATCTCTGTTGTTTCTAGTAGCCGTGTATGTTAATATAGGTCTAATTGCTGCATTATAGATTCTTGTTTTTGTGTCTTGTCTTAGGTGTTTGTTCTTCCAGATTGTGTCATTAAGATATCCCGTCATTTGGCTTGCTGTTAAGCTTCTTATTCAACATCTTCGTAACTTCTTCTTCTTCCTATGTCGTTCCCATTAACGGAGATTGGCGACCACATTTCTAAAAGTTTCTCTGTCTTTTGCAACGTGGAATAATTCGTCTACAGTCATGTTTGTCCAGTCTTCGAATATTTCGCAGTCATCACTTCCTCTTTCTACCTATTTCCTTTTTGCCGTCAACTCTACCCTGCATGAATGACCTGTAGAATACTATATTTATTATTCCTCAGTATGTGTCCAAGGTATGCACTCTTGCGTACTTTTATTGTACTCAACAATTTTTTGCCTCGACCCATCCTTCTCATCACTTCCTCATTGGTGACCCAGGCAGTCCATGGGATTCTCAACATTCTCCTGTATATCTAAAGTTCAAAGGATTTAAGCTTATTAACTATTTGCGCTTTTAACGTCCATGGTTCTACCCCGTACAATAGTTGGGACCAGACGTAACATTCAACAATCCTCAGTCTCAGCGCAGTATTCAGATTTTTTTCACAGAATAATATGCTTGAATTTTAAGAACGCTACCCTTACCATTTCTATTCGTACCCTTATTTTTTGGTCTGGATCTAATTCTTTATTGATGTAAGCTCCGAGATATTTATATCTGTCACTCTCTGTATTTGCTGTCCACTAAGGGTTAGTTGTTCATTATTTATTGGATTCCTTGATACTATCATAAATTTGGTCTTATCTGTGTTGATTTTAAGTCTCATTTGAATGCATTTACTATTTATTGCATCTGGTAAAGTTTGTAATTCTTCTCTACTCTCAGCCATAATTACCGTGTCATCTGCAAATCTCATGGAACAGATGGTGTATATATTGTTCCAATACTTCCTTTATTTTGCTCTCTTCAGTAAGTATTCCTCCATTATTATCTCTTGATATGAGTGTTCTTCTTTGTCTGGTGTTGCCTGTAAGTTCTTTCATTTTTTTATGTAAGTTGAGGCTTAGACCATAAAAACTGATAGACACGCCTTGTACCGAACCGTTGAAGCAAAGACCTTCCGCGAGAGTGACGTCACAATGCTGCAAAAGCCCGCTTGGATTCTTAGTAAAGCACTAATATAATTACCCAATTTTAGATTAATTTAATATAACTTCAATATTTTGTAAAAAATATGGAAGAATAAATTATTTAGCGAAGTAATTAATAAATATTTTTGCCTTAAGTTGTACAAATAAATGTTTTATTTGAAACTACATACCTACATATAATTATTACATATATATCGTTGGTATATCACTTCTTGTTTGATAATTCAAAAATAAATTTAAAGGAAAATAATTTTCTTTTGGGTGGAAGTTTCAGGTTAGGTAAAAAAATATGTAGTAAATCTATTTATTTATTGACCACAAAACAAAATAGCTTTTGATAACTTACTTCTAACTCTTATTACATTATTTAGTTTTTTCAACTTCGTGGTACAATCCAATGTTGCAATAATGAAAACAAATTATCTGTATTAGATTAAACAAATGGTTTGTTTTAAATTCATGATCAAACGTATGTTCTTTGTATGCGTTAAACACAGAACCATGCACGTTACTCATGACATTTAAGATCAATTTTGTCATTATTTTGGAATCGTTTGAATTTTTTTGAATTGTACATAAATTTAATTTCGCTTTTACCTCATTTTTAAAAATGTCGTGCGGACTGTCTCGATTCTACATTTTATCTCTTGATCTGGATCTAGTTGTTCAGTAATATGGCAACCAAAATAATTAAAACTGGGCACTCTTTGAATTATATGACCATCAACATATAATCGTGCATCTTGATGTGCTAAACGGCTAAACACCATGTGTTTTGTTTTTGAACAGTTTATATTTATGCCAAACTCTCTTCCCACTGTATCAATGGCATTTAAAAGGCATTGTAGTCCATTCATGTCATCACTTAAAATAACTGTATCGTCTGCATATCTGATTGTATTTATCAGAATTCCATTAACTTTCACGCCCCATTCCAAATTATGCAGCGCTTCTTTAAATATTCTATCTGAATATAATTTAAATAACAGTGGGATAGTATACAACCCTGTCTGACACCTCTTTGTATTTTACATATTTCTGTTGATTTTCCGTTTATGCAAGCTGTCGCTGTTTGACGCCAGTATAACTTTTCTATGAATCGTATGTATTGACCATCAACTCCTTTATCTTTTAATATTGCAATAATTGGCGCATCGCTATAATCCATTTTTTTTGCAATGATGAATCTTTAGGAAATCTAAAACAATTTATTTACTTAATCCTTTAGTTTTTAATCTAATTATAAAATGAAAATTATATATAAGACTCTCTATCTCATATGTATCTATTTAAAACACTTTGGGAGGAAAAGTAAAATAATAGGTGCTAAATTTCTGGTATGTTTTTCAGTTTAATTTGTGAATTTACTTTTTTTTTGTACAATTAAATGCACTGCAAGATGCCACCATAATTAAAATATTAATGTTTTGGAAAAATTTTAAATTGAAACACTTTAAAAAGTTTACAACGCGTATAAACACTTCTAATCTCTAACCGTTTTCTGCCGCAAACTGACGTCACCCACAGCTGTGTGAATCGTTTTATGTTGGCTTCACTCCTCGAGACGAGATAATAAGCATTACGGCGCGTCTATCAGTTTTTATGGTCTAAGGTTTGGAGGTGTCATGTTTGTTGCTGAGTTCTTCCAGATCCTGGCATTTCTTGTTCATCTATTCCTCCTTAGCCTTACTGATTTTATATTTGATTTTATTCTTGATGGTTTTTATATTTATTTCCATCTTCATTTTTGTATATTCTTTTTTCAGTTACTAGCTCAACTATTTCCAGTGACATCCAGTCTTTTTTAGTGGTTTTCTCTTTTCGCTTAGGATCTCTTTTCCCGCTTTTAGTATGATTTTTTTTTCATACTGTCCATTTCCACGCTTCCTTCAGTTTAATTTATTTATCTCTTGCGTTTTCGACGTTTGCTAGTAATAGATTATGGTCCGTATCTGCAGTGTTATTTGGGTTCTTGTTTGAGAAATACAAATCACGGTAAAATGTTGGAGTAACTTTTAAGTATTCGTTCTTTTCTCTTATTTATTTTCCATCTAGTTAAGATTTATTAAGAACCTCTACTTCAATCAAATAGCATCGGTAAAAGCGGGGCCAGAAACTAGACAGAACTTTCTAATTGTGAAAGAAGTAACACAGTGGTTACATTTTGTCACCTCCTACTATTTAATCTCTACCCTAGAGCAATTTTTAATTTTAAAGTTAACCTAAATACAAAAAAAGAATATCTAAGTATATTTGACCAAACAAAAATTGAAAATGCGTCGTAATAAACTTACCTCTAAATATCTTTTCTAGATGTATACCCTGCAATATGATCTCCAAACACCATATATACCACCTTACAAAAACATTATAGATTACGAGCATGTCCCACATACCAAATACCACTCAATTTATGTTCCAAATTATGACACTTACAGGCCGTTAGATAAATATGACAAATGGCCAGCGTGGTACCAAGCGTATACTCATATGCCAGAGTTTAGGTATTATTTAAATAACACGCTTATGAGAGATGTTGGAGTAAGTTATTGCGTGAAAATCTAAGGAAAATATCCACAATATAGGAAAATGATAACTTGGTTTTTGTTATGTTTCTGAATATTAATATGCATTTTCTGAATTTATTAGAAATTAAAATATAAATGTCTACACGAGAATCTTACAGATTTTTCTGTTTAATAATAGTAAAATATTGACAATTTCATTCTTTATTAGGATTTGTCCTATAATTGCTACACCTTCGGTTGATCTAAATACTCTAGTTTTGTATTATCTCTTATGTCATTGATTTGGAGAATTCCTGCTTTTAATACGTACTGGATACGAGTATATTTAAATATAGTTTTCTTATGCTACTGACAAGTATTGGCTCTTTGCATTAAGCTTTATTTTTAACATATCTTTCTTCCTTGCCTCTACATTTTCTGTTTGCTTTTGGTCTCCATTCAATAATTCGATTCGTTTACCGGTGGTCATCCTCTTTTATGTATCTTGCCCAGTTCAATTTTAATATCGTAATCTTTTGGATTTTATCCGAAACTTTTGTTCATGTTCCTATGTTTTCATTGAACTTGAAATCGCTGAGATGTCAAGCATTCTCCATTCTCTCTAAGTTTGTGGACTATGTTGTTCTTAGAAGCTCATGTTTCAGTTTCATGTGCTATTTCCAGCACTTAACTGTGTTAGCTTGTTTGTCTTTTGAATATTATTTTTAATCCGGCCTCTTTTGCCTCTGTTTTTAATTGTGACTATATTTCTGCTGTCACTTCCACTCTGCGGGACATGATGCTGATGCCATTGGCATAGATTGATTAGCATAGAAAGCGTTTGATTCTAGAATATCTTCGAAATCTTCAAGACCATCACCGTCTTCATCTCCAATATTGTTTTCTGTCTGCGTTACTTCCTCATCCACAATTTCATCAGAATCATTATCATTAATATTGTCGTAGGCTTTTTCCCACATGAGAGCATTTTTCTGAGCCGTGACCACTTGAACATAAATTTGTGCATTTCAAATTATGTTTTCGGCAACCACATTTTAAATTGTTACATCCAGTTTTACAGCTGCAGCAAATATTTTGACAACAATTTTCCGGCATAATGCCTCGTTGATGTTGTTTCCAGCCCCAATCTGTTGCTGTCAATTCGTTGCGCAGCCATGTTTGAAGCTGATAATATGCCCTGTAACAATGTTGTTCTGCTGTACCTTCTGTGGGTGAGAGATTTGCCAGTACAAAAAATGATTTGATTTTTGCCAAATTATATTTTTGAAATCGTAATTGTTTAGAGTTAGCTTATCATTTTTGCACCTATAAATAGATTTGATTAATTGTAATCCATTTTTTGCGATATCTTGTTTATTTGCATCTTTTTCATAAAAAATGTTAGCCAAACTTGACAAATTTTTAGCGTCTAATATTGAATTTATGATACTTTTCTTTCCTTTCCCGGCAAATCCAGATATTGTATCGCAACCACAGTGTTAATTTTAATAAATACCTCAAAATTGTACATAATGATGAAAAAAAAAAATTCGATTAAAGGTTTCTTGGTTTTTTGTGTTTTTTGAGAACATTTCTTATAGTAATGTATATTTTTTTTACAATATCGGAAAGTAGAAATTACAACGAACAGAAAGCCCACCGATTTTTTAAAAAGCTAATATTTTGACGCGTGAATTTTTGATTGAAATTTTGGGTGCTTTTTCGATATTAAATCAGTATCAGGTGAAAAAATTAATTTTTCAATTCCAAAAAATTACGCTGTATTTGGTAAATACTAAGGCAAGTTTTTACCAAATTTTGTAAAAAAAAATGTTTAAAGATAAAAATAAAAAATCAAAAACTTTATTTTTTAATTTTCCACAAAAATTTTGAGGTTATATGAAAAAAGTGTAAATACAAAAGTTGTAGATCTTTTTATTACCTACGACTTTGCTATTTAACTTTTTTCCATAGCACTTGTAGTTTCGCCGAAAATTGCGATAAACCGATTTTTACCCTTAAAAACTCACCCCCTCCCACTTCCCGACCTCGGATGGAGTGAAATTTATTTTTTCTTGCAATTTAAGCATATTCTCTTTTTTTTCCAATAGGTTTCATACTGCTATAATTTTTTTGACTTTTTACCTTTTTTAAAGGCTTCTACACTGGTCTATATATCATTGAATGCTTTATAAAATACCATTTTCGTCTGTTGTTGATCTGTCTAGCATAAACCAAAACTAATTTTCGAATATATTTGGTTTAATTTATTTATTTGTAATGAGTAAATTTCCAATAAACAACATAATAATTTACTGAAAAAAAAAAACATGAAATTCTATATTGTGGATATTTTCTACAGGCGAATATTATAAATTGTATTTAATATAATTCATTGGTTTTTAGATTCGTCGTCATAGATACATTCACACTTATTGGTAAACAGTCCCAAATTAAAACCGTTTGTGTATAATTTAATGCGAATAGTTATTTAAATTTAATACATTGTCTGACCTATTTCACAGTTATACTAAATAACAATATATAATTTAAAATATAGTTTTTTTTATTTGACATGTACTTGCTTTTAAAATTATAGTAAAATAAAAGAGCCCAGACGTATTCTAAATTGCGGACAAAAGCATTGATTCTTATTTATTTTATAAAAAATCGTCAACCTGTTAGTGTTCGTTTGCTTTCCTTTTGTAAAACAAATCCCTAAAAAGTGGTGTGTTGAGATCGTTTGCCTGCTACATAAAAATGGTGATTAATTGGAATGTAGAAAATATAGGGTAATAACCCTCCTCAATACAGCATACAAGAAGATAGAAAGAAAAAAAATAGACAGAAACAAATGGAATGTATATAAGCTGAGAGACGCAACTGTTGCAAAACAGTACTGGGAAAATATTACCAATAGGTTAAGGAATTAAAGTCTAAGCGAAGAAAACCAGAGAGATATAGACTCCTACTGGAACAGCATAAAGGAAGATATTGAGTTAGCAGCATAAGATGAAATAGGAACAGAAACTTGTATTCGAAAGAATCACTGGTTTGACGATGAATGCAAAGACGCAATAAAGAAAAAAAAATGAAACCCATGCAAAAATGCTTACCCGCCGAACTAGAACAAGTATAGAGAATTACCAGACAAAAAGAAGAGAAGAACAGAAAATACACAGAATGAAGAAACGAAACCACTTAACAAAGGAACTTCAATATATAGAAAACCTCAACAGAGGAAATATTTCAAACATTCTATAAGAAAGTTAACATCAACAGAAAAGAATTCAAGGCAAACACAAATCAATGTAGAAGTTTGAATGGTGACCTATTAACAACAAGAACAGACGTACTAAACCGATGGATGAATATTTTAACCAGATGCTTAATATAGAGGAAAAAAGAAAACGTAGAAGATAGAAGCTTGAGGTAAGCGGAACAGACGAGAGGGAGGATCCACCAATGATTCTGGAAGTTAAAGACGCTGTACACAAACTAGACAGAAACAAATCATCCGGAATAGATATTCTCCCAGTGGAATATATAAAGAAGGTGGCCACGATATCATAATAGCCCACAGCAGCTTATAAAAGAAATATGGATACAGAAGTCCCTTCCCAGTGATTGAAATATTGGAATACTTTGCACCATACACAAAAAAGGAGATATCTTTGCATGCTCTAACCATCGAGGAATTACGCTCCCAAACGCAGCGTATAAAATATTCTCTAATATACTATGCCATCGTATGGCACCGTATGCAGAGCGAATAATAGGACAATACCAGGCTGGTTTTAGAGGTGGTAAATCAACAATTCATCAGATTTCAACCCTGAGACAAATTCTAGAGAAAACACTGGAATACGGTGTACGCACCACATATTTATAGACTACAAGACAGCCTACGACTCTGTAAATAGAAGAGAATTGTTTAGAGCAATGATAGACCTAAGAGTACCAAATCAGTTGTAAGTCTATAAGTTCAGACTTGGGAAGGGTGAGACTCTTTTATAGGGCTGTGGCACCATGAGGATGATGACTAATTAAACGTATCGTTTCAAAAACAAAATATGATTGAAATGCCAATTGTGGTAGTTCAGATTTCTTTTCCTAGAGGGCGTCGTTACTTTATTGGACAAACTATATGACTTGTCATCATAGCCTTTTATATAGATAGATTTTGGTCTGCCTTGCACAAACTCCCCGAATATAAAACACATAAATATTACATACGACACTGTTCATTGATTACGTGCCATATCTTTTGCAAAACAAAAATATTCGAAAGAATTCCGCCAAATTTATTACACCTTGATATAATTTAGTACGAATAAATGAGCAATATGAGCAAACCTGCCAGATGTGGACAACGTAGGTAGATAGTAAATATTGTCGTCCAGGTAAGATATTTGGCATTCTTCCAATAATGTTCGGGCTCTTTTCCCGCTCGACTTATGATTTTCGTCTAGTCCAGTGCAATATCGAAAAATTCGACTCAGTGTAACGTTGTGTAGAGGAATCAATTTTTAGCATTTTAACCAGTGGCGTTACATTTGAAGTAAGTTACTCTATTTAGTTATTTATAAACAATATCTCAATCATTTCGTAATAGATTTTAATACAAAGCTTTAAATTTCTAAAACAACTTGATATATTTTAAATATTTTTTTATAAAACAATGTTATTTGTGAAGAATATAAGAAATTGTTCATTTTTGTCAGAGCTTGTTTCGACAATTTATTATAATTATAAAAAAAACTTTTATAAAACATTGAAGAAATTGTAAAAATAGGGGATAATACATTTTTTTTGCTTCTTTTTAATAATGCTGTAGATATTTTGAACAATTTGATTTTTCTTTGTGAGACTTTAAATTTATTTACTAATTTATATGTGTAGGGTTTTATCTTGTTGTCTAGGGTTTAATTAAATGGTCACAGGTCGATTCAAATTAAAACAATCACTTTATTGTTAAACTCGTAAATTACAGGAATGAATATAACTAACGTAAACAATAACTATAACTTAAAATAGGACCGCAGCTTAATAGCAAAAATATGAACGTCTTTCGTCGTACGTCGTTTAGAGATGAGATGCCGTCTTATGCATATCAACTCTTCGTCGTGAGTGTACAACTTACACTATTGGTAACGGAACTAATTTTTTATAAGAAGTTTATTTGATGACGAATGCAATCCTACATATGTAATGCATTCGGTAGCATTTTATACCAACAAGAATTATTACTATTGGAACTCACTTAGTAAAGAATTTTTTGTTGGCATTTTGACAAATTAAACTTAGTGCAATATTAAATAATATTAATTGTAATTTGCCATATGCTAACTGGACTGCAGCTAGTTCACATCTGTTCCACTATTTCGCTTGTCTCATTTTGTTCTAATATTAGAGGGAGCCATATGTTGGGCTTGTCTAAATGCACTTTTAAACAATTAAATTCCTCTGTTTACGTAACGTGATCTATGTCCTAGCCAACTTATTTAATGCACTTGCTAAACAAATGACAGAATATGTTGATTTTTTAAATTTTATAGTCTTCAAAATTATTAATAGATAGCAAAAAGACTTGCTTAATTATCTCAAAAATTATCATGTTTCGACTCATTCATCACTACCGATTAGCTCTAGCTGTTGTTTTTTATTTATAGTGTATAATATCATAATAATTAATTTGGAATTCTATCCAATATTTGAATCAAGTGTATAAATTTTTGCTTGGTTTTATAACCATATAGACAATCTTCCTTGGAGATAACTCATCTATATTATCTGCCAGAAATATATTAAATGGTAAGAGAACGTTTTATTGATTACCGATGATCAGTTTGTAATTACTTTCTTTACTCTTAAACTAAGCAATCGTTAGTTAGTTTAGTTCTGCGCCAATAAAGTAGGTGACACCTCTATGCTCAAAGCAGTAAAAGTGGGAAGATTCTGAAGACATTAGTTGCACTTTTCGGTTTGAATCGGAAAGATTGTTGACAAGGTTATGTCATGTCACAAAATTGGAGGTTGATTTACTTTGGTCACGGTGTTATAGGAAACTGGGAAATTGTTATTGGTGATCAATAACCGTTATTTTAGTTTTGATGTAGTTAATAGTGAATCCAAACTTAGCACTTTTTATGAGTTTTTGAGTTCTTGAGTTTTTTTTATTAAGCTAGTAATTTCTTCTGGAGTAGAGGCTAGAAGTGTAGTGTCGTCTGCAAAATCTTGACAACGCCTAGGTTTACTCCTCCTCATCCATTATGAACTCTAAACAAATGTTAAATAATAAAGGAAATAAAACGCATTCTTGGCGTATTTGCTTCCCCAAAATGTATTCATCAGATAGGTATTTGCATATTTGAATATATGCCAGATTATCTTCATACAGTTTGCTAATAAGGTTAGTCAAATGTTCAGGTATATCCATTATCGTAAATATGTTCCATAGTTTGTCTTATCTAACATTATCAAAGGCCTTTATATAATCAACAAAATATCGGCATTTGTTGTTACAAGCATTTGTTGGACCTTCCTTATCTAGAGGTATGATTATGGTTTTTCTCTAATTCTTAGGCCAGACGCCTGTGTTTATATTATTTCATTACACATACTGGAAGATGCTTCAAGATATCAGCAGTAATAAAATTATAGCCTGCTGCTTTGTTTTACGTAAGTCTTTTCAGACCAAATTTCACCTCGAAAAAAAAATATCAGGTTTAGATTCAAAGCTAGTGTGATGTGTGTTTCCAAGAAAATTGGAAAGTGGAGACCTGATATTCAGCTAAATACGAGGTGGTCGCGGGTATCGGATTCGTATCGGCCTATAAAGACTTACAATATGCCCTCCAAACATCCATAACCTTGTCCAAATCCGTCTGTACATTGCCTTCATCATTTTTGATAGACCAAGATTTCTGCTTGAATTTACGTAACGTTACAAGACGTGAGTAGTCTGACTTTATCGAAGGGTCTTAGGTGTTATTTGTGTCGGCATGTTGTTGAATCTTTTTGAAGATTCTCTCTATATGCTTGTTCTTGTCACGTCTACAAGCAGCATGGATAGCGCTAGATAGCCTAGGGAACGCCAAAAATTGTTATTAATTCCAACAATTTTGAGATTTCTCCGTTTTTGAACAAGGCCAAAAGTATCTGCAAACATCCACACTGTTTTTGGTCCTATTGAGTTGGCATTAGACTGTGCCTCGCAGTTAGTCAAGATCTGTAACAAGGTATTTCTAAAAGATGGCTTTTTTTAGGAATCATGTTTAAAGTTAAATAACTGCTAAAAAAAAATAAAACTGGACTCAAATTATTAATATATTCAAGTTTAAAAAATGAATTTTATTTAACCATCATTATCGGACTAAGCTCTGAATAAAATGAAATAAGAGGATACATGCTTCTTTTGTTGGAAGAAAATATTTTGTTTAATCCTTATGTAATATATATATTTTAATATATTATGTAAAAGCAAAAATTGAGGTGCCTTTAAAACGATATTTGTATTTAAATGACGCATGTATACCTTATATATTCACACATAACACTTTATCAAAAAAAACAATATACTTTTCTAAATTATCTGTACATTTTAGAGATGCTTGGCAAGCAATACGAACCAACACACTATCGACACCATTTGTGGCCATCTTCACAATACGTTCCCATCGATATTCCTGAATATAGAATAAGTAAACCACTTGACTATTATGGTAAATGGCCCGATTACTATCCGATTTTATTACCAATACCTCAGTTTAGAACTTATTTAAATAATTTGCTGCTCAGAGATTTAAGGGTAACTACAAAATATGTTTCTTATAATAATCAAAATTCTTTCAACTATAAAACTATGTCATATTATTGACATTACAAGGCTATTGGTCACTGAAACTAGTATATTTGAGTAAACATGACTAAAAGCTCTACCTTGCTCCTGAAGGAATCTACCTATAATGTGGTAACTTTACAATATACATAGTGATCAAACAAAAAAACCTGGTACAAACCCCAAAAACTATTTACAAGCTAGACGATAAATGGTAGAATAGAAGTAAACTAAATTATATTGCATTTAATATTATTATCAAACTTAAAATTGTTTTGTTATAAAAATCAAGTATACGTATTAAACTAGATCAGGCAACCAGATAACTAGACTATTAATTAATGATCTGGAACTGGAAAGTATGGACACCTTCGTCTAACTGGGTTCACTGCTGATCAAAGACAGCAATGTCAGCGAAGAAATTAAAAGAAGAATAGTGCTTGCCAATAAGTGCTATTGTGGTTTAAAACAGATGGCCCCAAAACTACCCAGAAAAATTAAAGTTACTATATATAAAACACTTATAAGGCCAGTGTCAAAAACGTGGTCACTTACACAGAATGACCAAGAATTCCTTAAACGTTTCGAGCGAAAAATTCTAAGGAAAATATATGGAGGAGTCCAAGAACAGGGTTTGTGCTGTAGGCTCTACAACTTTGAGTTATACAGAAGTTTTGGGGAAGCTATATACTTTTTATTGAACTAAATGAACTTAAAGATTCTGCGGTTTTATGTTTTAGAAGAGCGAGGATTTTTTACCTTCACAATACAGTCTGCTCCAGTCTGTTGCTGCCAGATGCATTGACACAACATAACACTTTTACCTGGCCTTTCCAGAAAGTTACGGGTTTTAAATCGATTTAATCAACAAGTTGTTGAAAAGTCCATCCCCTCAATGATTTCTGTGTAGGTATGTTTTTCAAGGAGTCAGACTAAGATATCAAATTTTGGAATTTCGCTTTATTTTCTACAGATATTTAAGCCTTAAAAAGGAATTTGAATTATGAGAAATCATACCACGGAGAATCAGTGTTCTACTTTTACTAATATAATTCCAAAACGTTACTTTCATATAGATATACAGGATTCCTCGAATGTATATAAATCTTCATTATTTGATGATTTTAACCTACTCTATTTGTTTATTCAGGTAATTATTCTTGTTATATTATACCACAGAATATACAACCCAACAAGAAGCGAAATCTTTGTCGGTACCTTTGATGTTCGTAGGACAGAAATTTCGGAGTGACAATGACAGTTAAGCTACTTGGTACACTAAGAAAAGTAATAAGAAAATCGTTCAAAATAGTAGTAAAGTTATAGTTATACAAAGAAACAAAATAAATATTAAAACTAATGGTTTTTAAGTAGATCTGTTTTGTATAAATTGTATTTTTTTCTAACCCAATTATCATTTACCAATTTAATATAAACCATATATCAATTCTGTACTGATAAGTAAAAAGGTCAAAAAATATCGATTTGTTTTTTTAAACAAACAAAATACGGTACTTAAAGAATTTTAGTACGTTAAAAAGCCGATCAAAAATGATTGAATTTGGGAGTTAATTTCAAAATAGAGATGAAAATCAATCGATTTGTATCGATTTTTTAAGATATTAAAATATGTATTTATATGTATAGGTATTAAAATATGTATATATATAAATATATATATATATAATATATATATATATATATAATATATATATATATATATAATTTACGGCATAAAGTGGAGTCCGCCCATGTTAAAATTCAGGTTTAAGTGAGCTCCGTGGTCAAGTGGACACCGATATACGGAGCTCACTTGACCATTCCCTAATATTGGTTCTGTCGATTCGTTAACATACAGAGGTTCATAATTTTTAAAAAAATTTTGGAGCCCATAAATACCCCTGTATCATAAATGTATATCGTGTAGTTCACGTGTATATATTATAGGGGTCGTTCAGGTCTTTTTCACTGTATATTTGAACAATTAGTTTATCGGTTTAAGTAAGCTCTGAGAGTTTGGCAACCGTGCGATGATAGCGTATATTTTCAAAGTTTACCCTGAACGGTTTATATGAGCTCCTTATTTTTATCTACTTTTTGTAGGCCGTGTAATGCCATACGCATTACACTGTGTAATCAAGGATATCTTATTACCGGGTATTACTACGTGCTAATAGGTACAAGGTACAGGTTATTTAAAAAACAGGTATATAGATACAAAAGGACTTGGGCTTATTATTTAATGGAATGGTCACTTGCATAGAAAATTTTATTTTCTCTGCATTTTTAAAAATGTTATTTTTTTACTTAATATAGTTTTATTAGTTCAATGTTGAAGTCTACGTTTTTTTAATTGTAGAAGTTTCGTACTACAGTTGAACCTCGATTATCCGTCAAGGCACCGGACCAAGGGTATGACGGATAATCGAAAAGACGGTTAACAGAACATTAAAAAAAATCATAGTATACTCTCAAATTTTATTTGTATGTTTTATTTGATTTAATTTAAAATATTCCGAAATCTTTGTTTGTTTTATTAATACTTCACATTTTGCAATGGCTGAATTTCTTGATTGACAAAAAATCATCAAATCTACCTTATTTGCTTCTTCTTGCAGATAATACCACTCGTTGAATTATTGTATGTGCGATGCATCTTCTCTAGCTTCTTTACACAAATCTTTGCGAGTTGCAATATCATCATCAACATCGCCATCGTCAAAGTTTGTCCTTTGTTGCCAGTTCAACGATTTCATCATCTGTCAGCAATCGATAGCCGTTTGCGTCCTCATCACATATTAACCATACGTTTATGTTATCTTTAGGCAACGAAAACTCAACAGTTGATTCAGCCATATCTTCATTTGTTACCGTATCATGCTGGGCTATCACGGGGGCATTTTCATCTTGAGTTGGTTCAGGCCATAATTTATTCCACGCTTTTTTCAGCGTTACTTCCGAAGAATCAGCCCAAGCATCCACAGCATTGTCGACTGCGTGTTTTAAATGGTATGCTTTCCAGACAGTGCAGCGGGAGCTTAATTTTTCACCTTCGATTTTCAGTTTCCATTTACTGTGGCGATTTTTGAACTTTTCCAACCAACCGCTGCTTCCTTTGAATGAAGGATCGCCAATCAATTTCAAGTTGAAAAACAACGCTTTTCCGTCAACAATTGGTCAAGACAAAGCAACATTTTCGCTTCTTTTTTGAATGAACCACAAATACAGAGCCGTGTCGAGTGATTTATTTGTGGCTTTTTTTCGTTGTCTTACGATGTTTTACCCGGCCATCCAACGATTGCATTTGCGAAGTGTACTTTTCAATTCCTGCAGCTTTTTTCTTTAAATCATTTATTGTTGTTCTCGGAACATCAATACTTTTTGTTCAATGCGACAGCAGAAACACCTTTCTTTAGTTCTGCAAAAATTTCTATTTTTTTTTTCAACTGACAAAACAACACGTTTTCTCTTTGATGCTCCAGATGTGGAAGGCTCCATTTTTCAAAACTTAATTGATCAAACGACTAAGTGACATAAACAATGATCGAATTTGAATCAAACTGAATTATGGTGACCCACAGATATTCACTGTAATAATTATTGTGCTGTGCGTTTTTATTTTCGGCTTGCGATTATAAAAATAGAACTCTAAAAGCACGGTATCATTTATCATATCTATTTAAATTAAAATTTATTCAAGAGCCCTGAATAAGAACAAAAATTATTTACGTAAAAAAATGCGGTGGTGCCATAACTGCACCTGACCCTGGCGGTTAACAGAGGTGACGGTTAATAGAGAGACGGATAATCGAGGTTCTACTGTATTTATATTTTTTTTACGTGACTTTGTCTTTGTACGTTTTATAGAAGCATCCCAATAATAAAAACTGTTTTTATTTCATTCAATGTTCTGCGATATCTTGTATAAAGTTTTTTTATTATTTTAGTTTTGGTCTTATTTGTACTACATAATATGATATCTTGATAGAAGGTTATCTCAAAATAAATATGGTTAAGTGATATAGATATATATGATATATATATAGATATTTTGTGAAAATCTAGTATATATATAAAAGAATTGTGTATAATGTTATTTGTAGGGCGAAAGGACGTTCGCCTCATTTTTAGCTGACAAATAGTATTTCTGACCTCAATTTACCTTTTAGTTTTAAACAATGATCTGTGAATAATCACGTGCAATACAAGCTATTTTCAAGGAATTTATAGATAGTCTACAGTTCAACGATTTCCTGACATTATTGGAGGTTTAGTTTTGTGAAAGCGTTTGTGTTAGGGAAATTGAAGAAGCACATATGAGTTTTTCAGGCGTTTTGGCTGAAAATTGATTCATAGTTTATTTTTATTGTGCAATAATAGGTGTATCGTCTGTATATTAGAAGTCCTAGTATCTATAGGTATGGGTTAATCGTTTGTTTATACACTGTAAGTGTCTTTATGCTATCCCAAGCGAGACCGTTCTTCATCTGCTATTCTTACCATCGAGTGATACGAAAAATATTCTATTGTGTAGGCATACACAGATAATTTTATCGTTTGTTATCTACGATGATATCATATAATTTTTGGAGAAATATCCTGTAATTTAAGGTGCCGTAAGCGGAATTTATATTGAAAAATACCACCCCTGATACCCGATATTTTTCGTACCCGTCTTTGCTGTCTTGAGTAAGATTTAGTATTTGTAAAGTACGCGATCTTCCCTATCTATAGCCACTCTCGTCTTATAATTTGAGATTTTTTTTTAATATCGGTGAAATCATATCATCGTCTCTTGTGCAAAAGTATTTTAAATAGCTGACAAAACAAAGATATTGGCCAATAGTTTTTGTGGTCGTTGGAGTTTTTGCCAGGTTTAAGTAAGGTAACAACTTTGGCTCGTCTCTAGACTTTGCGTATCTGCATAATTTGAATACAGTTGCTCATCATCCGGATAAGCCATTGTAGTG